AATGCCCTTTAATATATTTCTTTTAAACTGTTTTCTCCCTCATCCATTTCAATGCAGTATACATAATTCATCCAGTTTTTCTTATTCTTAACCCTAAACCTGATGTCAATCGCATTCTATAGCAGTGGCACTATGCAGTGTTTGTCCTTTTGTAACTGAGATATTTCACTCAGCATAATGTCCTCCAGGGTTACCCATTTTGAATAATATTGCACGAGTTCCTTGTTTTTCAATGCAGTGTAGCATTCCATTGTGTGAATATACCATAGCTTCTCTATCCATTCGTTTGTTGATGGGCACTTAGGTTGTTTCCAACTCCTTGCTATTGTGAACAAAGCCACAATAAACATGGGTGTGTGTATATCTGCTTGGGTGTCAGTTATGGTCTCTGTGGGGTATATTCCCAGTAGTGGAATTGCTGGGTCAAATGGTATCTCTATTTGCAACTTTTGAGGAAGTGCCACACCGCCTTCCACAGTGGTTGCACTATTTTACACTTCCAACAACAGTGAAAAGGGGTTCCAGTTTCTCCACAACTTCGCCAGCATTTGTTGCTTGCTGTTCTGTTAAATTTTGCTATTCTTACTGGGGTGAGCTGATATAGAGCTAGAGATTTTGAACATTTTTTCATTTGCTTGTTGGCCATCTGAATGTCTTCTATGGTGAAGTGTCTGTTCATATCCTGTGCCCATTTTTCTATTGGATTATTTACCTTTATCTTGTTGTGGTGCTCAAGTATTTCATAAATTCTGGATATAAGTCCCTTTATCTGATATTTTGTTACCAAATACTTTTTCCCTGTCAGTGGATTCCCTTTTTACCCTGTTGGAGAAGTTTTTGGATGTGCATAGTGATTTGATTCTTAGGAGGTCCCATTCATCTATTTTATCTTCTCCTGGTTGTAGATTTTTCAGGATACTTGGAAGACTGTTATGTTGTGGATTAGGACTACTAGAGTTCTTCCAAGCTTTTCTTTAATGAAATTTATGGTCCTTGGTTTTAGTCCTAGGTCCATGATACACCTTAAGTTGGTTTTTGTATATGGAGTGAAGTGTGGATCTTGCTTAAATCTTCTGCAGATAGTTTTCCAATATTGCCAACACCACTTGTTAAAAAGGCTGTCATTTCCCCACTTGACTGATTTCATATCCTTGTCAAAAATCAGTTGACCATAAATAGATGGGCTGATTTCCAGGTTCTCAATTCTATTCCATTGTTCTATGTGTCTGTCATTGTATCAATACCATGCTGTCTTAACTACCACAGCAGTGTAGTAGGATTTTAAATCAGGGAGATGCCTTCTATCTTTTTTCTATTTTTAAGGAGTCCTTTGCTTATTCAGGGCTTCTTTCCATTCCAAATGAAGCTGGAGATTACCTTTTCCATCTCGTTGAAGAATGGGATTGGTGTTTGTATTGGGATTGCATTGAACGTGTAAATTGCCTTTGGTAATGTTGCCATTTTCACAATATTGAGTCTTCCTGTCCATAAGCAAGGGATATTATTCCACTTCTCCAGGTCTCTTTTTTTTTTTTTCTTATAGTGATGTTTTGTAATTTTCTTTTAATAGATCCTTTGTGCTTCTGGTTAGATTTACTCCCAAATATTTTATGTTGTGATTAGCTATTGTGAAGCGTACTGTTTTAGTTCCGCTCTGTATTCTCTTTGTCACTGTAGAGAAATCCAACTGAGTTTTGTATGTTGATCTTCTATCCTGCTACTTTGCTGAATTGGTCAACTATATCCAATAGTTTTCTTCTTGAGTCTTGAGGGTTTTCTGCAATTTTACCTCCTCCTTGCTAATTTGGATACTTTTTATTCCCTTCTCTTGTCTTATTGCTATTGCTAAGACTTCCAATACAATATTAAATAAGAGAAATGATAGTGGGCATCCTTGCCTAGTTCCTGTTCTTAAAGGGAATGCCTTTAACCTCTCTCCATTCAGAACAGTGTTGGCTCTCAGGTTTGCCTAAATACTTTTTACTTTGTTGAAGAAATTCCCCTCTAATCCTATTTTGTTGAGTGTTTTAATCAGAAAAGGTAATTGGATTTTGTCAAAGGCCTTTTCTGTGTCAATTGATAGGATCATGTGGTTCTTGTTCTTTGCTTTGTTAATCTGATGAATTACATTAATTGTTTTTCTTATGTTGAACAATTGTTGCATACCTTTTATAAGTCCCACTTGGTCTTGGTGGATTATTTCTTTGATGTATTGTTTGATTCTATTGGCTAGTATTCAGAATTTTTGTATCTATGTTCATGAGAGATATTGGCCTATAGTTTTCTATTTTGGTGGTGTCTTTTCTCAGCCTTGGTATCAAGGATATGTTTGCTTCATAGAATGAGTCTGGGAGAATTCCATCTTTTTCTATTTTCTGAAATAGTTTATGTAGAATTAGTGACAGTTCTTCTCTGAATGTTTGATAAAATTCACTTGTAAAACCATTTGGTCTAGGGCTTTTTTTGGTTTGAAGTTGTTGTATTACCGTTTCAATTTCTTCTTTTGTATTGGGTCTGTTCAGATGTTCAATTTCCATCAGTTTAGGTAGGTTGTGTGTTTCTAAGTATTTGTCCATTTCCTCTAGGTTTTCATATTTGTTTGAGTATGTTGTTGTTAAGTGCTATTGAGTCGCAGATGACTCATATTGGACCCTATGAAGGAGAGTCCTCAACACTTGTTTGAGTATATTTTTTCATAATATTCTAATGTTAGCTTTTTTATTTTAGTTGGTTCTGTTGTGATGTTGCCTGATACATCTCTTATTGGGATTATTTGTATCTTCTTTACCTGCTTTCTTAACCTCAGAGTGTATCATGAAGATTTATAAGAGCATGAATTAGTGCCACAAGTAATATGATATCATGAAGTGTTATCATAATTTAATCTTTGAGTGGGTATTACATTCACTTAATTATTTTTATAAATTAAATGTGGCGTGTTATACATGCATTCATGCTTTTCTCATTAATAATATATTCTTTTTCTCCTTCTGCAGCATTGCGAGGGAACTCTGGTGGGTAGGGAGTTGTGCTGCTGATACAAAAACAGTGCTTGTCTCGCAGTTCAAATCCACCAACGACTTTTAGGGAGAAAGATAGTCAATAAATAACATGTACAATTTACAGCCTTGAAAAATCTATTTGAGAGTCAATTATGAGTTGCTTTTGACTTGACAGCAATGAATTTGAGTTCATTTCTTTTTTTCAGCATTGTCAATAATCTCCTGAATTACTATTGTATCACCTGATTGTAGTATATATTCTTTAACCTGTTTCCTATTTTTAGGCATTTGGGGAAGTCCAAAATAATAACTTGATTGTTATATATTTATATACAACCCAGGATAATTATTTGAAATTGTTCTCTGGGATTTTGCTTTATGTTTCCAAATTGTTCCAGAAAGACTATTCCACTTTATACCTTTCCTCGCAAAGACTTTACTGATAACCTTAGTACGCAAAAGGGGGAAATAGTTTTAAAAGGCTATTTGTAATGGTGAATTTTTTTATATTATATATAAGAAAAAAGGGGGGGGGAAAGAACAGAAAAGCAATGGTAGAGCAAGGTTGAGAATGAGATAGGTAGGTCTCCTGAAAGAGTGTGCTGGAACTGAGCTGAGACATGACTTCCATTCTTCGCCTCTGACGTGAACTCTGACAAGGATTCTAATCATCACAAAAGGAAGAAGTACTTATTGACTTTGGGTTGTCTTTTCTTCCAAAAGGATTGAAGAAGGTGAAACAGGGAGTCTTTTCAACTCTAAAATTAATTTTCCCCTTATGACTGTCCTTTTATGATCAGAGAAATAAAATTTGGGCTTCCATAAATTGTGGTTGTGTTTTGAAGAGAAAGCTCTCCATCCAGCCAGACGCTCTGGGTTAACAATTTCTCTTCAATATTGTAAATGAATTCTCACTGGACTTTTCACTGCTCAATACATAGCAGTCTTACAACTTCCATAGAAAATCCTTCAAAACATCAGTGAATTGGAGAAGGAATGTGAAAACTTCAATAGACCTCTAACTGCATATCATATCTATACATATATGTTGTTGTTATGTGTCATCGAGTTGCCAGAGACTCATAGTGACCCTATGTACATTAGCTCTGAACTGTGCCCTATCCTCAGTAAATCTCGTGTCCGACAGACCTAATCCCATTTATATTTCTACACACACAGAAGAACTCTAACTACATAATAAATATCTATACATATAGATATATAAATGAGCTGTGATGCTGGAGAAGAATATTGAACATACCATGAACTGTCAGAAGAACAAATAGATTGTCTTGGAGAGGGTGAAACCACATTTCTCCTTGGAGGCAAGGATTTTGAAGCCTTGTCTCATCATATGTGGGTACGTGGCCAGGAGGGGCCAGTCCTTGGAGAAGGACATCGTGCTCGGAAGAGTGGAGGGACAGTGCAGGAGAGGAAGACTCCAGATGAGACGGGTTGTCACAGTAACTGGGTAATTGTATTAGGTACGTTGGAATCAGTAAAACTGGCTCAGGATAGGCCATGGATCAGAATTATTGTACATAGGGTCACTATGAGTCACAGGCGACTTGATGAATTAAAACAATAATTAATATACATGTACATATATATATACACACACACACACACATGTATCTGTACATATTCTCATACACTTCTTTTTAGACGCTGTAACATTAAATGTAAGTGACAATAAGAGACTTTCACTAACACAGACTTAGGCTAGCAATGTGACATTTTGCCCTTTTTAGTGTAGTGATCAACAGATGGCAGAACAGGAAACTGAGCTTTAGTTCCAAACCTGCACCCCGTCAGGCCTTCCTGCTGTGGTAGTTAACCTTCAGCCATTCAGGCAAGTGCTTAGTTGGTGGTCAGCTCAGCAGCAAAGCTATTTATCATTAGAAGCTTCGAGGACACACCAAGTGAGAACTTAGGCCACTAGATTAGATTGGTCAAGAATAAATGTCACATCCTGTCATTACCTTCCTTTCTCTACAGCAAGCAAACTGAAGAGGCTCCCGGCACAAAGGAACTAGAAACATTAATAGACACAATCCAGAAGCAACTGAAGGACAATTCATGTAAAGATAACCTTTGTGAGGCATTTCAAGCTCATGACAAGGGAGCTTCCGGATATGTGGACAGAGAGATGTTCTATAAAATTTGTGCATCTTTTAACATCCCACTTGAGGACTCCCTGATTAAGGAGGTCAGTATAAGGAACTGGTTGGTTGCCAACCTGAGCATCAATCATTAACTCTTACAGGAAATTGGGGGACTATTTGGGATGTTCAAATAAGATATCCTATCCTGATTATGGTATTTCCTCTTGATTCTAGAATGTGCATCCTTTTTTTGCTAATTGCTGTCCAGGGCAAAAGGAGCTCTGGTAGCATAGTAGTTTTTGTGTTGCTCTGTTAACCAAAAAGTCAGTAGTTCAAATCCACTTGGTGCTCCAAGGGAGAAAGATGAGAAGTCTCCTTCCATAAGGACTTACAGCCTTAGAGACCTGATGGAGGATTTCTATAAGTCAAAACTCAACTGCAGTGAGTAGCAGAGCAGGAACCAAAAATCTCTCTTCACGTGGGCATGGTGCTAGACAGCACACAGTAGTCAGAAGGCCATGGGGTCAGAGCTGAAAGAGGGCAGCAGAAAGAGGGGTGAGCATGGTGGATATGTGGGTGCCTTCACTGCTGCTACAGCCAGTACCACGACTATCTACTTCTCCTCCTCATTGTCGTCAAGTAAGAACCAACATGGCACTGAGCCCCCTGTAAGTTTTCAGAGGCTGTAAATAGCATGGGAGGAGATGGTCCACATTTGAGAGAATCTGGTGAATTCGAGCTGCCTGGTTTGGGGTTTGGCAGTGCCACTCCTTGCCATAGGCCACCAGAGCTCCCCTGTAAGCACCATTTATAGCCTGTACCTAAAATGGCACATTAGGTAGGCTAGTGTGAGAAAGGGAGGGACCGCCACCAAGCCAGTGGTGTCTGCTCATGGGCAGCTACAAATGGAGGGAAAGAATGGAAACTGTCCTCCTAGAATTTTCTAGAGTGAGTTGAAGACTTTTGTGCCCTTTCTCATTATAAACCACTTTAGTTTATATAGTTGCCAAGCTCTCCTGGAAGTCAAAACGAAATCTCTCCCACAATAGCTAAGGATTATTTTATTATCGGTGAGACAGTCTCATGAGTTAAAACCATCAAGACGCTGTAGACCTTTCAGGGAAAAGGAGTGTGCAGAAGTGAAGGCCTATTTAGGAGGGGGTGGTATTCAGAGCCAAATTGGGAGACTCTTCATAAATAGGAATATAAGCAGGGAGTGCAGGGAGAGGCAGCTAAAGAAAGACGGAGGGGTTTTTGTTCATATGGACCTGACACACATCTAATTTCCCAGACCTCAAAGTGACAACACATCCTGGTTTTGGTTCTCAAGTCATTGGCACCATCTGTGACCTGCCGTGGGGAGGTGGAGCAGCAGCTGGTGGGCAGAAGGCCAGCAGAGGGGAGGGCCAGGCGGGCTGGCACTTGCCCCATAAAGGAAGCCGCTGCCAGCCCCTCACAGTTGTCTCTGGGGACAGAATGACATAACTGGTGGTGAGGTCTGAGCAAGTTGTTCTGCTAACTCGCAGGCTGTCAAGTCTCAGGCGGTTCGAATCCACCTGTGACTCCTCAGGCAAAAGAGGGCAGCCTCCTCCCCTACAGGTTCGGAAGTCCGACGGAGGGGGGCCCGGCGGAGGCGGGCTGTGAGCTGTAACCTGGTCTGTATCAATGAGTTTGAGGTGTGTTTGTTTTCTGTTTTGTTTTTTAAAGATGCTTCACTTAGTCTGTGATAACAAGAATGTCCTATTTTAAGAGTTTTCTGTCACACAGACTTCTTGTTTGCTGTCAAGTTGGAACTGACTCTTAGCTGATCCCCCAGCAGGTTTTCAGAGGCAGTAAATGGAACCGGAGGAGATTGTCCATCTTTCTCCTGCAGAGCAGCTGGTGGGTTTAAGCCACCATGAGACTGCATTTAAAATAGTTTAAAATGAATTGGTTTTCATATATATTGTTTTTCATACCGGATCTTCCCCATTTCCTTTTCCCACCCCCTTCCTCCACCTATCATTTCGTGTGACCCTGTGGAAAACAATGTATACATACAAACTTTGTAAGTAAACCAGTGTAAAACACAATTTTTTTTGTTAAAAAAAAAAAGTTTAAAATGCTCTGAAAAAGACTCTGCCCTTTATAAATACAGGTACTAATCCTGGAATCCTGGGAAGCCATTTACTCCTTCTAAGTATAAAATGGAAATAGTGTCTGACATGCCCAATGTGTTCACAGATTCATTTCAGAATTGACTGAGGATGTAAAGACTCAGAACTGGTTCTAAACTCCTAGCGCCATTGTGCTGAGCTCTGCGGTGGGCTCAAGGCAGCCTTGTATATTTGCCTCACCTGTCACCCTGTCTCTCCCGCAGTTAATCAAGCTGTGCTCTCATGAAGAAGGCAGAATTAACTACTATAACTTCCTTCGTGCCTTCTCAAACTGACCTGACTGATGTGCGATGCAACACGAAGATGGGAAGCTGGAGCTGCCCTTCGAAATCTACCTTTTGCTCTTTGTACAGAGCCCCTGAAGTGAAATTCCTCCTTTTGGGTCTTATTACTACTGCCGAAGGCTGAATTAAATGGATCTTGTGGAATCCAAGATTGCTGTCGTGAGGAGTGGTGAATAATTAAAAAGCAGCAGGAATGACAAGATGTGGCGTAAGCATCATTTGATGTGTTAGGAATAAGCACACACACTGACCATTACCACCAGCCAAATGTTACACTTTCACCCCAATACTGCAGGGGAATAGACCACATGCTTTTCAAACCTACTAGTAAACTGACACGGAAAATTTCAGAGCATGGGACACATGCATAATAGGACCTGCATTATTTCATGAGATTCTTGTTTGAATTATTTGTGCATTTACTGAGCCTTGATGTAAACGCATTTCTTGGTGTGGGTTTTAGTTTTCAAAAATTTAAGAAAAGAAAATGATTATTTTAGAGACACTGGCTTTGAGATAGGAGGGAAAGACTAGTTATTTAATGAGCTCTGAGAGTCCCTCCTCACCGACCCTGAACCAGGACTGCTGCTTAGCTTTGAAATCAGACAGCATCTTCATCTTGATAAATGCTCTCGCAGTCCTCCTCAGTACTCAGAATCGGAGGGAGTACTACAGGATCCAAGAGCCTGGGCCTCTCAGAACTACTGGAGAACTTCTCTGAGTTTCCCCTTTTCTAATGACCTACTCAGCCTATCTTCATTTTATTGAAGGGGTTGGAAAAGTTGACTCCCCTTTTCTGCCCTAGGTCGGTACCTTAGGAAGAACCCGTGTTGTTTTTTGTTTCTCATCCAGTTGCATTACTATTTTTAAAAGTCTCATTCATTACTAGGGAGGAAAATGTAAAATGAATGAATAAAAACAAAAAGAAGAAAGAAAGAAAAAGCTTCCTCCTCAAGTATTTAAAAATCCCTTTCTGTGTAAAATGAAAACACTTAAGTTCTGTCCTTCCTGTATAAGGACCGCTGGTGCTGCATTGGTCAGTCTCTTGGCTACTGAATGGTTGGTGGTTTTGCACCACCCAGTGACTTGTAGTTATAAAGACTCTGGCCATCTGCATCCATAAAGTTAGTCCCAACCCCTCAGGGGCAGTTCTGCTCTGTCATGTGACACTGCAAATCAGAAAGCACAGCGCCCAGCAGCAATACCCATCCCGTCTCAGGGTAGTGTGAGAGGACAAAAGGGGCAGAGCTGCTTCTGTCTTTCTAGCTTCTTCCTTCCTTCACTTCCATTCAGCCATGGTGCTGTTTCTGGCTGTTTTCGAACCTGGAAAAGCAAGAACATGGAAACAGCCCAAATGTCCAACCACAATCGAATGGATTGAAAAATTATGGTCCATTCACATGATGGAATACTATGAAACACGCAGGAGCAATGATTTTGTAAATTATTATCTAACTTGAGAGGGACTGGAGAGCATTATGCTGAGTGAACTCAGTCTCATAAGGACAAATACTGTGGAAAACCATTATTGTACAACATGTATAAGAATACAAGGGGGCGTGGTTAATCATAGTGTTTCACAATTTGATGGGTGGAAGGAGGGGTGGGTAAAGGAAATGGGAAAGATCTGGTGTGAAAAACAATGTATACAAACTTTGTAAGTAAACCAGTAAAAAAAAAATTATTAAGAAACCCAAGCATACAATTATTTTTTTTAAAAGTTAGTGGATAGAAGCCAGGAAACAAAAAAGTAGTCTTAATATCTATGTATAGAAAGGTCATAATCTAGAACTGAAGCCTTTTGAGTGATATGTGTCCCCAAACTGGCTCTTTCCCTCTCCCAGGGCACCTTTTTGGTAAGATCTTAAAGAGAGATTCCCATAGGAAAAGTCTCACTAAATCTTGGTCTTTGCTGTACAGTTAGGACGTTTCCCTAAAACTCGTTTTAGGTAAGAATCAAGCACTTCAAATCTTATGCTCTCCAAACTTGAAGAAACACTTAAATACCCCCTCACATAGCTTACAAATACACAGCATTCCAACAGTCTCTACTCATTAATATTTTCCCACCACCTTTGCCTCCTCTGGAAGAGGAAAACTGACAAAAGCCTTAGTCTGCTTCTCAGAAATTTGTGCACATGAAGGGACTTATCAAGTGCTGTACTCAGCTGAAATGGGACGTTGTTAAGTGCCACCAAGTTGAGTACGACTCATAGCAACCCTATGAACAAGAGACCTGAACCCTGTCCTATCCTGTGCCATCTTCACTAACTCTGATATACCTGAGCCCATTGCTGCAGTCACTGCGTCACTCCATCTCAGGGGAGGGGGCCTTCTTCTCTTTTGCTGACCCTCCACCCTTCTAAGAATGATATCCTTTTCCAAGGAACAGCCTCTCCTAGTAGCAGGTTTGGAAGCAGGAGTGGCATCCACTTCCTAAACCACATGCTTCTGTAAACTCTATGAACTTGGAGTAATGATGACAGTTATGGGAAGGCATTAGTCTTATGTTCATAGAGTTGCTATGAGTCATTCTCGACTCGACAGCAATCAACAACAACAACAGTAACATATCTAAAGTATGAGAGATGAAGCTGTGTCATCTGTGCCTCGAAGGAATACTCCAGTTGCAGGTTTTCCAACACATATTTGTTTGTTCTTTCGGCAGTCCATGGAATATTCAATAGTTTAATTAAAAATACTGCCTGAAGCATTGTGATAGTTAAAGTCAATATGTCATATGGACAACAGCAGCTCAAAAGATTAGATAGGAACCTTATGGAGTAATGAGTTTATGTTAATGTGGGGAGGCAAAACTCAAAGAGAAAAAGAAGATGGTTACATAACTCAAAAAATGCAATCAATGGCAATCATACACATAGAAACATTTGGAATTGGTGTATGTTCAGCTATGTATACTCTCAACATCAAAGTTAAAAAAATTGAAATTCTAGGAAAGTATATTCATAACTCCAAACGCTGCATAAAGAGGAAAATAATGAAAAATTGTGAGAAATTGGACTGTGTTAGCTTCATCATAAAGTATAAAAGCTACTTCACAGAGGAGTCGAGTCAGCAGATAATTTCTGTGGTGTCTGCTACTTGCCACCACAGTTGTTGTTATTGTTGGGTACCACAGAGTATGACTCATAGTGACCCTACAAGCTGCCAATCTGAGCACTGTCCTATCCAGCACCATCCTCATAATCTCTGAGACATTCAATCCCATTGCCATAGGAGCCAACATGGTAGGCATACCCAAAGCTGGAGTAAATCACTTTTCTTACTGAAGTCTCCAATGGCAGTCAAGCTATTAAATGAGTCTAGGACTTAGGTAATAGAAGTGACCTCAGCATTAGCCTTCAGAAAGCAATACCGGGGGAAGAAATGGCCCCCAGGGAGTTGAGAGCCAAGAGGTACGGCGAGAGCCATCAATGGGTGGAGGAAAAGATTGACATCAACGATTTCATTCCACTTGGATCCATAATCAATACCCTAAATACCTGCAGTCAAGAAATAAAAAGGATTGATCACAGTGGGAAAAATCTGCTGTCAAGGATGTCTCCAGAGTTCTAACGAACAACAATCTTGGTTTAAAGACTAAGGTGCACTTGATCCAAGCCATAGTTTCTCAGTTACTTACTATGCATCTGAAAGTTGGACAGTAAGGGTGACAGAATAATCATCGATGCCTTTGAGTTGTGGTGTTGGAGAAGTGTATCCATGGACTCCCAATAGAACCAATGGGGTCGTCCTGGAGAAAGTGAAACCAGGGTACTCCTTGGAGGTGAGGATGGCTAAACTCTGTCTCATTTGCTTTGAACCTGTTGTTAAGGAGCACTTATTCCTTGGAGAGGGCATGATTGGAAAGGTGGAAGGTCAGTGTAAGAGAGGAAGACCGTCAACAAAATGGATTGAGACAGTGACTGTAACAGCAGACTCAGGTGTGTCGGAGATGGTAAGATGGCACAGGATACGGCAGGGCTGCTAGCCGTTATTCATAGAGTTGCTGTGAGTCGCACTTAACTTGACAACACCTAACAACAACATTAGAGGCCCACTAGAAACAGCAGCTATGACTCAGGGTGGCCTACGGATAGAGGGCCTGAATACAAAGTCCTATGGGTGGCTGAAGACTGGCTGTGAATTCAGCCACTGCTCAGACCCTCAGCCTATAACAGATTTGTCCCACCGGGGATCTTGAAAACATTATCCAAATAGGTGTGCATCATCTTGACATCTATAGGCTTTGAGGGTGTTTGGGACCAACAGCAAGAGAAGACTTCTCAAGTGTCAGTCATTTCCAGATCCTCAAAGGTCACTTGGCTGACTCCAGAATAGCCTGCTGACACGGGAGTATGAACTTGTTCATTGGGGGGAAAAATCGATTTCTTAAATGCTTTCTTTGTACAATACTTAACATTCACTATCTCAAATCAAAATCTCCTCACAAGTCCCCTCACTCCCTCCAAACTCCCTCCCATCTCTAGGACACAGATAAACAGATATAGAAAAGTCAGCCACCTTCTTATGGCAGGACAGGAATGAACCCCAAATGTGGACCTTTGGTTAGTAATTATTGTTGTTAGATGCCATGGAGTGGAGTACGACTCATAGCAACACTATGAACAACAAATCTGAGCCCAGCCCGGTCCTGTGGCATCTTCAGCCTCTCTAACATATTTGGTTGAGTCCATTGTCAGTGATACTGTCAATCCACCCTTTTGAGGGTCTTCCTTCTTTTGCTGACCCTTCACTTTTCTCACCTTGAACTTGGGCAAATGTTTCTTACTTAGTTCTCAAGCCCGGTAACTACATTCATACAGCTCTCCCTAAAAACGCTTCTGGAAAATGTGACAGAGCCTCCAGCAACAGAAGGCCATCAAATGCGCCATCAATCCTCACTGTTCACTATTCTTCCACTATCCAGGCATCTTTTTAGCACTGTTGTTGTTGTTAGGTGCCGTTGAGTTGTAGATGACTCATAGCGA